CTTTACAATTCCGATGAGTTGGCTTGACATGTGCCTAAGAAGTCTGCGGACAAAAGTACATTACGCTGAAAAGTTATACTGTCTTTAAGAAAGAAAGAGAGGTTATTATTTCTAAATGAAATTAAAAGTGCTATGTGACTTTCAAGGAGGAATTTACAATTTCTTTCGCCCGTGACGACTATTTTGAATTTTTTATTTAAAAAAAATGTTCAAGAACTTCCTTGGGCTCCGCCCCCTAGACACCCGGCAAGGGCTCTGCCCGGCACCTCAACTGTAAAGATAGAAGTGGTTCCCAAGACAACCTTTTGTTGTATAAAATTGGAGAGAGTGTGAGCTCCTTGTGAGCTTTATGTATAGTTTAAGTTTCTAACGACCACTCCTGTGGAATATTTTATTATTGAAACGAGTTCTTGCTGTCTGCTGCCTCGAGATCATTAGAGCGAAGAGAGGTTATTATAGTGAAGGGACAATCCTTTATATCCAAATGATTCTTCAACCATTCTTGATCAGAAGTGCGTTTCAAACTCAATGGCCCGAATTTACAAAGGAGGTTTGTCGACAAACCTATAGGTTTATGTGCGTCATAATACGTTTCGACGGGTTTTTACAAACCAGGTTTGTAAAAAAAACGCGTCAAAACGCGTCATTATGATGCACATAAACCTAGGTTTGTCGACACACCTCCTTTACGAATTCGGGCCAATAATGTTGGTACTATCCCATTGCGTCCTTTTGCTACTGAATGCAGTCAGGTAAAATAATGTAAATGTAAAAAAATGTAAATAATCTGGAGTGCCGGGCCCCCTTTCCAAAATTCCTGAAACCACGCCTAGATTGAGCACTACTTCTTATTCAGCATATAGCAGAACACGCCCTTGATACTGTAAACAGCATTCAATGGGATGATGCCCATGCACATCAATCAATTTCTGAGGCACTTCTCATAAAAAAAAAGGTGAAATAATTGATGTTGATGAAGAGAGCTAATCCTTCACTGAATATTGGTGCCAATGTGAGGCGCTATCGACCCTGCATGATACGACACTTGCGCCATTATAAACATGGCTATTAACAAAAAGGTGCACGACCAAACTTTTAAGCACAATTTAAGCCTATCATCACTGACAAGCTGTTCCAAACCACCAGACGCTACATGCCCCCCATCACACTACCATGGATCCATTAACCACATAATGTGTGATGTTAGCCATTTGCAGAACTTACTATCATGATCTACATATATTTTTGGTTCTTATCATCAATAATAATATACTGTCTCACCAAACATCAATATACAAAGTTACGCTATTAAACAGCAAAAAAAAAAAAAAAGAAAAGAAAAGAAGACAAAATGATTCGATCCAAACTGTTGGCCTTCTGAGCTCCTGATAAAATTAATATCCAGTCTCTTTGTCACCTTCCATTTTTGTTGTCGTTGTTATCGATAATTTTTTCTGGCATGAAAAGGAGACGCTATTATGACTCAGTGGTAGAGCAGTGGTCTCGTAACCGGAAGGTCGAAACCAAGTCGATGCGCTAATGCCCTTATGTAAGGCATTAATCCTCAATACAAGTCCCTCGGAGATGACTTAAGGCTGTCAGTCCCCTAGGTGCTTACAAGTGCGGCGGAGTATCTTTCAAAGTGAGGGTGCACTGTGCACCCACAAATAAGGGCACTTTCTGTAAAAACAAGGGGGCACCTACAAACAAAAACTCAAGGCGGAAATTTAATTTTTTTTTTTAGACATCGGTATATACCCCTACACATTGTGATTACATTATCAGGGATGATTTCAATGTTTGTTTCTCTTTTTACATGGTCCAAAAACCGCATATTTTGCAGTTGGTTGTGATGGACTGAACACTCATTTCCGAGCGAGATAAAACATGTTCAGTGCGAAAAACTACATCTTATAGCAAAAAAGATTCTGATGGGGTTATAAAAGCAACATCTTATCATGAAAAACTTCGGGCTTCGGGGTGAAATTAAAGGAAAATTAAATTAGGAGCATATTTTATGGTGAAAGGAAAAGGGGGCAAATATACCAAGGGAAAAGGACACTTATTTGAAAAGAAAAAGAGCACATGTCAAAGTGAAATGAGAAATTATCAGAGGTTAAAACGGGGCACTCCTCGTACCTGATAAGGGGGACTCACCTGAGATGAATAATGGGCACTTATGAGAACGGGAAAAGGGGCACTTATTACAAAGAAAAAAGGGGCTATTATCAGAATGAAAACGGCTCTAATTATAAAGGATATAAAGTGAGGCACGTGTCAAAATAAAAGGAACACTAATACGAGATAAAAAAGGGTCACTTATTACATAGTATTCATATTCATATTCATATTTATTTCATTTCCAACAGAAAGGTAAACAAAGATATTACATTTGATTTCATACGTAATTCATTTTTTCAAGAAACTATACAAATAAACTTTGCCTTGTAAGTTCGGCTTAATTGAGAATCAAAAAAGAAAGAAAAGGTGAAAGCATGCAAGACAATTTAAGTTCAGCTTAATTGACAATTAAAAAAGTAAAGGTAAATGCATGCAAGATAATTCAACATCGAGTACGTTATGCCCAAAGAAAACCAAAACCTTCATACTAAGTTACTTTTATTGTAAAGTTTAAGATATTTGAAAAATATCAGTGAAAATTTGAACAAAATCGGGCAAGGAATAAGGAAGTAAGAGCTTTTTGAAATTTCTAGTCACATTTCATGTTTTTCCTTCTTTCTTGTGATTGAGATAATGTACTCCCCTGAAAGCAAGATATAGAATGCAAAATGATATTCTACTTCACATGTTATGAAGTCGGATCAAGAACACAAATAAATACGAAGAAAACAACACAATTGTGAAATTTTATGTACAAAAGGCATGGAGAGTTAGTCACAGATGATGATGTCATCAAATTGAATACCGCCCTCTAGTGACTAGCCATTTCAAAAAGCTCTAATCCAGCCTAAAAAAGCCTGTAATCCAGCTAAAAAGTGGAAGTTACAAACTGATTCAGCCGAGGACGCAGGTTCGAAACTGAGTCACGTCTTTCGGATGGTGACGTTTAAAGGTCGGTCCCAGACGTAAATAATCATATCTGATTGATACACGTCTGCAAAAACCCAATACACACACACACACACACACTCTAACTTTCTTATTCCTTGCCCGATTTTGTTCAAATTTTCACTGATTTTATTCAAATCTTTTAAACTTTACAATAAAAGTAACTTAGTATGAAGGTTTTGGTTTCCTTTAATTGAGAATCAAAAAAAGAAAAAGAAATAAAGAGTGAATGCTTGCAAAACAATTCAACATCGAGAACTTTAAGCTTAATTGAGAATTTAAAAAAACGAAAGGGTGAAAGCATGCAAGGCAATTTAAGTTCAGCTTAATTGACAATTAAAAAAAAAAGAAAAAAAGAAAAGATAAATGCATGCAAGACAATTCAACATCGAGTACGTTATGCTTAATTGAGAATCAAAAAAAGAAAAAGAAATAAAGAGTGAATGCTTGCAAGACAAATCAACATCGAGAACTTTAAGCTTAATTGAGAATTAAAAAAAAGGAAAGGTGAAAGCATGCAAGAGAATTCAACAACGAGTATGTTCGGCTTAATTGAGAATATAAATTTATATTTAAAAAAAAAAATGAAAGCATGCAAGACGATTTCACATAGAGTAGTCTTAATAACTGAGAATTTACATATGAAATGATGAGAGCATGTTAGAGAATATAACATTTAAACAGTGTAATTTGAGAATTTACAAATGTAAAGGTGAAGTCATGCAAGAAAATTTAACATTGAATAGGTTCATTTGAGAATTTACATATGAAATGATGAAAGCATGCCAGAGAATTCAACAACGAGTATGTTCGGCTCAATAATTGAGAATATAAATTTATAACAAAAAGAAAGGATCGATGAAAGCATGGAGTAGTCTTAATAACTGAGAATTTACATAATTATGTAAAGGTGAAGTCGTGCAAGAAAATTTAACATTGAATAGGCTCATTTGAGAATTTACATAATTATGAAATGATGAAGGCATGCAACAAAACTCACATTGAATACGTCTTACGTCTTACCTCATACCACATTTCTACTGAAGTGGGTACCCCTTGTAAGGAAGAAAATAGCTGAAGATTATAGAAAGGACTTTGAGGAATGCGTTACCCAAGAAAGCCCCGGGAATGAAACAGATCATTGCTTGCTGTATATTAACCTGTCAATAACTACTTGATTACAAAGAAAAAGAATTCAGCTCCGGAGGAAAAACAACTATTTAAAACAAGGCAAGACCTGATGAACTATAAATCGTGCTTGACAGGTGTTTTAGGTAAATTCAAACTAGTGAAAGGGGGCAAACTTTAGAAACATAAATATGTGCCCGTATATTTGGCACTGCATGGACGAATGCCAGAGTGATACAAAATATATCTTGTGTGGGCGACGCGAAACTTTTTATTTCTTAAAAGGGTACTGATGTGACTTTTCGAAAAAAATGTTGAAAAGCGCTGATGTAGACAAGAAGAAGAAGAGAGGAAAAAGAAGAAGAAAAAGAAGAAAAGAAGAACAGAAGAAAAGAAGGAGAAGGAGAAGAAGAAGAAAAAGAAGAAAAAGAAGAAGAAGAAGAAGAAGAAGAAGAAGAAGAAGAAGAAGAAGAAGATAAAAAGAAGAAGAAGAAGAAGAAGAAGAAGAAGAAGAAGAAGAAGAAGAAGAAGAAGAAGAAGAAGAAGAAGAAGAAGAAGAAGAAGAAGAAGAAGAAGAAGAAGAAGAAGAAGAAGAAGAAGAAGAAGAAGAAGGAGAAGAAGAAGAAGAAGAAGAAGGAGAAGAAGAAGGAGAAGAAGAAGAAGAAGAACAACAACAACAAGGAGAAGAGGCATGAATATATCAGGATGTGACGTGTTACCCACAACTCACTATGCCATGCATGACCGATGAACGATTTCGATTGCAACACTGCACTATCGTTATCGTTCATTCGGAAGTTACACAGAGTCGATCGAGTCGAGTACAGTGAGCTGAGAAGAGTCATCCCTGCGATCTGAATTTGTACCAAAGAAGTACAAGAATTGGAGTAAGATTTGAGTAAACCAACAAACAACAAGGAAAATGCGAGTTCTTTTGCTTTGTGGGGCCCTTTTGGTTGCCCTCGTTGGGACATGTAGCGGAGAAGTGGTGAGTTTTTGAGAGCAGATATGATTATGAGCGGTCGGGGTTCATTCGCATATTCGCCCCGGCCCGCACTGCACAGAATAGACCTCCTATAGACCTACATGTACGGTATATGCATACAAATTTCGACGATAGTCAGCGCAGTTACTGCAGTAACTTGTGCACTTGTGTGTATGTTTCTGTGTGAATGGAAAAACAGCGTAGTATTCAGTATTGATACCATGTGTGACTATGAATGACGAATGATTGGTTGTCCGAAATATCTGACGTTTATACTAGTGCATCTTTGATAAAAATGATACTACACATCACTTTTTTGCAAATATAATGTACATTTTACAAAGGTGAGCTGAGCCTGAGCCACACAATTTCATACAATTAAAACAATTAAAACCAGCCCCAATTCCTTGTTTAAAAAATGTTGGGGTGATTAAACTTGTAGACTAGACTCTAAGTAACTTTCTTTAATTATAAGGTGATTAAATTCAAAGACGATGATGAGAAAGATATAATATCATGGGCATGATGGGAACTATTCTCGTGAGCTTGGACTTTCCTCGTTTTAAAAGTCAATATTAAAAGTTTTCTAATTCAATCTTGAGGATAATTTTGTTTTTCTTGGCTGTAAAATACGTTTTCGGAAGTTGACTTGTGAACAAAATCATGATTGACAAATGTCAATAACCAGGGGGTCATTTCAGTAAACCAACTCCATGACAGTCGTATCTTCTTGATCTACAGAGATGTTGGGAAGCGGACAACCACAAAACCATGATTTTTATACTATCGGCTAAAAAATATAGTCTTTATCAAAATCCATCAGATTTTATCCTGAAATACAAATGGTAGTTATGAGGCTAAATTTCATTCAAACTGCTTGTAAAAGTGTGTATGCTTGTAAAAAATGTGTAACTTATGAGAATTTATAAAAATAGATGATTTTATATTAACATTACTAAGTTCTGATAAGTGAAATGAGAGCTTGAGAATAAAAAAATAACTTTTAAAATAAATTTTCAGTTTGCATCTTTTTGTGTTGCCATGAGATGGATTTCTAAAAAGATGACGGGTTTGGAGTCGATGGAAAATTTTGGGAAACAATGTAGTGGATAAGTTGAGCAGCAGCATGGAGATGTTGATCTTGTACTGATGACGGTTTTGTGAAACTACATGTATGTGGACTATATAGTTGTACATGATACATGTACATATAACGGTTTTGTAACACGACTCATTTGACCGTCATGTTGCTTTAAAGGCTGTCTATAACTCTAAAATGGACTGATTATTAGCATTTTGGTCTTCTACCTTTTTTTTTTGGGGGGGGGGGGGGGTTAGCTGTCTAATAATAGACTGATATTTGGTGATTTAATCTTCAATCCCTTCCCTAAGCCGTATTTTAAAGAAATATTTACATGTAGAGCAAGGGTTTTGGGTTTTGGCTGCCATTGGGTTTTAGGTGAGGGTAAGCTAGGGTAACTTGTTGGCCTAGGCTAGATATTTTCATGAGTTCAGAATTGCAAATTAGGACTTACGTTTGTATTAGAACATGTTTCATTCAGTCACACTTTTATCCAATATTAGGCCATTTTTGTAACGTAATCAAATTCAACTGATACATACATGTACACTTGTACATGTATGTCTTTGGTCAGTGCCTCTCATTCATCTGGTACAAATAATTGTATTTTAGTAGCCAGATTGCAATTTGCAAATTGCATACAAAAAACAATGTCAGGCAAAGCATGTTTGTCTTCCTAGCCTAAACCAATGTATGAGATTTGCATTCTGCCTATCAGATGCAAAAATATATAACAGGTGAATGAACATGAATAGCCTGTTGCTGGTGATTTGAATACATTTTGAAAATGGTGTATCCACTACATGTAGGTTTCTGTACATACAACATGTACTTTACCTTTTAAAAACTCCAGTGATGTCAAAAATGCATGAGATAAATTATGAACCTTTGTCATTATCTATACGGTAAGTACATGTGAAGTACAGATTCCATTACTGGTAGGAATTACAATGGATTCTTATCTTTATCGTAAACAATAGTTGTGTGATTCTGAACATCTGGTGTGGGTTGCAACTTTTTGTTTTGTGTCAGGAAGGAAGTTCAAGGAACTGAATGGCAGGAAGTTAAAAGGATATGAGTGGTTTGTTTGACCTGGGCATGGTTTGTATTATAGGAAAAGGAATTGTCTAACAGGTACATTTTGATCCTTTCTATTTGCAAGAGTATGGGACAAAAGAATTAAACAAAAAACAATTCAGATTTATTGTACAATTATTGTACAATGTACATTAGGTACATGTTTTCTCTTACTGTAGGTAAAATCCTTAATACATTGTATGTGTAATAAAGTGAATGTCCAGCCAGGCAGAAAATGAGATACTGTATGCTCATAATAATGTCTATAATTTGTTTTGATCAAAAAATGTCACAGGAAACATTTTAAAGCAGATTTTGTTTTGATCACTGTGATAGCCAAGTTTTTTTTTATCTTTCAGATTATTTAATTTGTACTTGCAATGGAATTATAAGAATGATATAAAAAGCTATACAGGATACCAGGGTACAGTGTATGAGCACAATTAAACTGAATGTGAGTTGAGAATGGTAGCTTTGAAACACATGATACTACATGTACATGTACATAACATGTATTGTAGTACCGGTAGACTGTTTAAAGAGTCTGCATGATGTAAATTAATAAGTGCATGTAGGGATGAGCAAATACTGTGAGGTTAATTGCACTTATAATTGGTGCAAAAAATGAAATTGTCATAACTTTAAGTATTAAAATCATAAAAAATGAAAAGAACAATTACCTAGTATTACAGTAAAGGGCAAATAATTTCCTTTTGATTGTGTAATCCATATATAGGATCCACATGTGAGTACATGTAGATAGAGATATAATCATTTGGAAAGTTAGCATCATTCCCAGTTTGTCAAACAGTCAAATTTCCAAGATGTTCAAAATCTGGTACGGTGAGAGTTGTGGGATACATGTATTAAAGTTCAAGTGCACAGTGCACTACATGATGATGAAATGCTGCTTGTGAACAGGGATTTGATACCCTGTTGTGAATTCCATCTTGTCTGGCTGTTCATTAGCATACATCCTGAAATCCAGTCATCTTTACTGTAGGAGGGTCGTGTCATGATAAGCTCAAATCTGATGTAGTTCACAGACCTCATACAGGTCACATGTTTTAGTTGCTTTAATGGCTGATTACAATGTGTACATTGTCTCCAATAGCCAACAAATTGAAAGCTCATTTACCAAGATTGATAAATTATCAGAATGCTAGGATCTTGTACATGTATGTATTGTTAGGATCTTTATTTTTTCTACATTCAATTTTTAAGTTGTAGATTGCAATTCTTCTTCAAGTTCCTGAATAATCATATTGGTGGAAAAAGACTAAATGACAGTTATCAATGAGCACTGCATACTCCATTTTGCTATGGTGAAGTATGCTATTCAGGAAGGAAAAAAAACTGTATTGACTTTATCAGTCATGGAGGGATGAGTGTAACGAGGGCAATGATGGAGCATGGACCCTACTACGGATGGAGGCTCAGTCATACATTCTGCCCTGTCAAGTAGCTCCATGTATGCTGTTCATTTCACAGCTTTTCCAATTAAAAAGTAATTAAAAAATGATTGATAAATGATAACAACTAGCTTACTCGACCAGTGCTACATGTTTTAATTTTTTTAGAGTAGCTCTAGCAGAAGTGGTGACTTCCTTGACTTAAGTGCACAGGACTAAAAAAAAAAAAAAAAAAAAAAATTTCTTTCTACAAGTATTACAAGTAATTTGATGAATTGTTATCATGGTATTACATTCCGGGTCATTGTCATATTTACCCTTGCGCTTAATAATCTAAATTATCAATGTTATTCTATCTGTCTATGTTGGAATTTGTGACATTTGTTATCCACGCGTTATCTGTGTAGGCGAGGGCTTTGCTCCTGCTATTGTCCGCAGACATCTCATCTCAAAGGACTCCAGTTTATCCTGGTCATTTTTCCTTAGCGTCCACGTCTCAGACCCGTAGGTGGCTATAGTGACTTCCATGTACACGTAACCTACCTAGTACAAGTTCATCATCATTCAAAGATGAATTTATCACTCTTACACATGTACACTGTATATACTGTACATGTATGTGTCCATCTTAATTGGATTGAATTGAATCTCCAATTTTTTTCATGTACAGGTACATGTACTGCATAACCTTACATTCCCTACATGTACAATTGTACATGTACATGTATGTAGGCCTATGTTAGAAGGAGATCCTGTACATTATTGTCTACCTACATATTGTACATTGCAAAAAGCAGGTACTGCAGGTAGGTACATGTACTGTACATCATCATGTTTACCTCTCTGGTTTGTGAAAGCAGGAGAGTGAATGCCTTTCAGCGTTACATTCCCCCATTTGTTGAAGTGCAGAGTGAAGAATGAATAGGGAGATTCCTGACAAACGCAGTGTAATATTCCACTCTAGATTTGTGTGCTGAATACAAGTCCCTTTTGAGCCAGACCGGGCGTAGTGTTAGAAAGCAGACCTTCTTGGCGACATCAATATAAAAGTGGATAACATTATAAAAGCTTCATAAAAGTTTTCTATACTTCCTGAAGTTCCTGTGGACAATTGTTTGCCAGTATTAAACAAAAGTTGCTTTTAAAACTGTATACCAATACCAATGTATTTGATATTGATCATGAGATGTTCCTTTAAATGTACTTTTACTATTATTGTAATATTTCTGGTTGATTGATGATTTTAACTTATGTGAAGATGGATGTTTGTTGATTCTAAATATATGTCTGGTGGTGGGAATTGGATGGGATTTCGTATTTTGAGTGTATGTACATGTATGTTGGTTACATGATACATAATTGCAACAATTTCTGCCAAATTTTACAATATAAATAAAGAAATAGATATATATTATAGTATTGTAATTTATTTA